TTTCAACCTTAACAGACTAAAAGTGACGTTTATGTCAAGACATCAGCTACTTTTTTTTAAGACCACAAGGAATTATAACTATATCATTGCCAAAAGAAAATGTGACGTTTTAGCTCAAGACACTCAGCTACATTTTTCTTAAGACTACAAAGAATTATAGCATAGCATTTGCCAAAAGAAAATGTCATGTCTTGCTATGCTCAAGATATCTCCAACAGACATGTTTTAGTTTAGTCTGCATAGGATGAAGAAGCAATTTTAAAACTTTTTTTGATAGGAAAAATTGACGTATACTGCTTTGGAAAAACTTAGGTAGTGGATCAGGTATCCACTACTACAAAACAACCATCTAATATGGTCTAAAGCTTTAAAAAAGACACATGAACCTGAGAAAAATGTCATTTTAAACAAGAACCTGGATTGAAAGAAGCTTATAGTTGAATAATGAAACAACTTAGTCATTGGGAAATAGAAATGAAAGAAGAGAAGGTGAGAAATTGAAAACAAAATAACTAGTACCGAGTTGATAATATCCTGACAGTAGATGGGGCTCATGTAGTATAACACATCATGAAATGTTGCAATGAGCATGACACGCAAACCCTGTACACCATCTAAAGGAATTTTTCAACTGCAGTTTTGCACTGAGCTTCAAACCTTTTCTCCACTGAAACACAAATACAGTGGCATAAGGAACACACTTCAATGAACCAACAACAACATATAAGAAAACAAGAGAAGAAGATTTTGCTATGGAAACAAATATAAAGTGATAGAGAAACACACTTAGCATACAAAATGACAACAATACAGACATGACTCTTTTAAATGATTCCAAACCGATGGCAGTAGACTAAAAATTTTGACACCTGTCCAAAGTAAAAATCTTTCTTGATGGAAAATGATTACAAATTTCACATGACAAAAAGTAAGTGTTACAGACGTATATAACTCTTAGATTATAGGGATCACATTAAATCCTGGATTAAGGGATCACTTGCATTCTAAAGAGATTGATCACCTACCTAGTTTAGAACACTACAAGTGTATATAAATAGTATCCTTTTAAGCTATGTATGAGAAGTGTGTGTGAATATTCATCCTTAGTACGTTTATTTACATGGTATTTGAGCCTTAAAAGGTTATTAGGGTTTGGGTTTCAAAATTGGGAAATTAGGGTTTGGGTTTCAAAATTGGGAACACCTTAGGTTGAAATTTGTTTAACACCGCCACCTAAGGAGATTCAGAAGCCGACGGCAAAACCCGAGTTCGGCCATCAGTATCCCCACACGTGAGCTCATGCCACCTGAAACTCTGGTGAACAGTACCACGCATCGGCGCGTAAGAGTGCGTCCACGCTAACGCTCCTCCGATTATCTTGTAGCTTCGCCGGTACTGTACAAACATTTTCGTGCTAGATTGGGTAATCTCTTACTAGTTCACTGATGTTCTTTGTTAGATATTTCTGAGGATTTAGTTGTGATCTTTTGGACTGTTTTTGTTGGTTATTGGATTTTTGTTGTGCTGTGGCCTCTGGTTGGTGGTGGCTGTTGATTGATTTGATGGTTCACTAAAATTTGGTTAGTTTGCTTTGTTTTAACCGTTGTGGGTGTGCATTGGGATTATCATCGTTTAAGACATGTCTGATACAAAGCCGGTGATGGAAATGATACGACGATGTCGAAAATTACAGAACACAAGCTCATGGATAACTAATTATCATGATTGGCGTAAAACTATTATACTGTATTTGTGGAGTATTGATAAAGATGTCATATGACTGTAGATCCACTGAGGATGATTCGAAAAAGACATGGCTCCAGGATGATGCTCGGTTGATTCTAAAATACAGAACTCTATTGACGGCGGATACTTGGCCTAAATCATTGTGAGTTTATTAAAAACTGATTGATTATTTGGAGTTTCTGTATTCTGGAAAAGGGAATGTTTCTTATATTATGAAGTGTGTAAGGCATTCTACTGTGCAGAGAAACAAGATAAGTCTTTTACAACTTATTTTATGGAGTTTAAGAAGACTTATGAAGTGTGAACATGTTGTTACCCTTCAGTGCTGATGTCAAAGTCAACAAAAACAACGGGAGCAAATGGCAGTCATGAGTTTTCTTGCAGGTCTTCCTTCTGAATTTGAGACTGTAAGTCTCAGGTTCTAGCTAGTCTAGAGATCCTCTCGTTGCAGGATGTCTTTAGTAGGGTACTTCGAACAAAAGGTACCCACCGGTAAGTTTAGTGGTGCTCCCGTCAGTCAAAAGAATGACTGATATGGACGATCACAATTGGAAATAGCAACAGAGGAGGAGGATCAAATAGTAATATGGGAGGAATTGTGTGAATATTGCCATAAGCCAGGACACATAAAGCGTGATTGTAGAAAGCTTCAAAACAGAAATAAAAGAAATCCCTCTGCCCATGTTGCATCCACTAATGATACTTCGGATCAGTCAGTTCTTATCTTGCAGATGAATTTGCCAAGTTTTCATTGTACCAGGAATCATTAAAAGCTTCACCTACTCCTGTCACGGCTATGGTTGACCAAGTAAGCTAAATACATGTCTCATTTCCTCATCCTCCAAATTCGTCATTGACATGGTTGTAACAGATCACATGTCAGGTACCCAGTCTCTTGCTACTTATCAATCAAAAACCATTTCGAATGTGACTTTGGTAGATGGGTCACCATCCTACGTTCTGGGTTGGCACAGTTACCCCTACTCCATAGCTTCCCTTGTCAAATGTGTTACATTTACCAGATTTTTCTTTCAATTTGATTTCTGTTAGCCAACTTACTCGTGCTCTAACTGTTGTGTTTTATTCTTTCCCGATTATGCTTGTTTCGGATCTTACGACGAAGTAGATTATTGGTAAAGGACATGAATCGGAGGTTATATATTCCGACAGACCAAAATCTACACCTATCGCTTGTTCTGGCGTTGCATCCCCGTTTCAAGCACATTGTCGTTTGGGCCATCCATCTCTTCCTTCACTGAAGAGATGTGTCTCAGGTTAATAAAGTGTACATTAGAGTGAGTCATGTCAGTTTGCTAAACATATCAGGTCAGTTCTAGTCTAGAGTCAATAAAGAGTAATTCTCCCTTTGATTAGTTCACTCTGATGTTTGGGGTCCCTTCCAGTTCTGTCTAAAACTGGTTTTAGATATTTTGTTACATTTGTGGACGATTACTCTCGTATGACTTGGTTATTCTTAATGAAAAATCGTTCTGATTTGTTTTTCTATTCTGTGCTTTTGTATTGAGATTAAAACTCAATCAATGTTTCTGTTAAATTCTTCTAACTAATCATAATTTATCCTGAATTTCCCACTCAAATTGATGTACAATCAAGTCCAATAACGAAAACGTGAAAACCTTTGAACTTCAATAAAGATCTAATGAGATTCTAAAGATGAAAGCATTTCTCAAAACCGTGAGAAACAAAAATAATACTTCATTATCCACAGCCACAACCAAATGATATAAATATTTACAAATATACAAAATACTTCTCTGAATGTCATGTCCCAACAGTGAGAATATTCACTCATCAAAATTTCAATCATACAAGTGTATTGAGGATTACCTATTCCAATACGGATATTTCTGAGGGCAAGGAAGACACCAAGAGGTGATCCAACAGCAAAGAATGTGTCAACCTGATATGTAAGAATTAATGTCAAATCAGTAACAAGATTCACCATCTTAAATTTATAGCTCATAAGAAGTTCCATTTCTGACCTTGAATTCGAGCTTTGTGTACTTAATATAAGGGGTATGACTCTTTGTTTCATCATCTAGCATAGGTTCAAGCTTCTCAGAAATGCGTTGCTTTGGCTCAATAGCAAGTAACTCATTCTTATCTGTTTATGCAGCCAATAAAACAGAGATATTAACACACAAGAGCTCCTTCCATAATACAGAACCAAAAATAGAATGTGAAGATCAAAGATTAACCCAATGCAAGCCTACACATACCTCTACCCCGATTGTACGATTCCAGCTCTGCTATTTTGGCTTTCAGGGAATCAATCTGAAACACAGAAAATTTTATTAAAAAGTAGTGTTTATTATTATGAACCAAAAATTTCACAAAAAGTATCTGGCAAGGAAAGGTCAATTTTATATCCTTGGCTCATTAAACAAGATGTGACCACACTTATGAATAAAAGACAAATGCATTAGTGTTGAAAAAAAGCCAAGAAGAAAACAGTACAAATTTGCACCTCTTTCTTCAGAAGATCAATTGTGTTGTTGTCCTTATCACATGTATCTTTGGATTCTTCCTCAGCCGCTCTCTCCAGTATACCATCCAGGACACCACCATTCACATGGTTAGCTTCATTGAAGCCAGCCTTGTCTGATGACATTGTGTCACTAGAACTTTGAACCAATTGATCAATATCTTCTTTAGCTGTTTGCTCAGAGCCCATAGCTGTTGCAGTATCTGACACCACAGTACCCACAAGAGAGGAAAATTCTTCAGCAGGTGCTTCCTTGCACTCTAGATGAGTTGATTGTATACTCATCTTGTCCTTGTCAATAGACCCCACCTTATCCTCAGTTTCATTTGTCTCAGAGGAGCTTTTACCCTTCAAATCAATTGAAGAGTCACCATTAGAAGGTTGATTGTTCATAGCATGGGAAGATTCTTCAATGGTATCTTGTTGTTCCTTGTACATCCAATCCATTGGAAACGGGGATGATAGATTCTCTTGATGGCAGAGGATGTCATACGAGAGGACANAATCGATGTAAAATCAAGTCCAATAACAAAAAACGTGAAAACCTTTAAACTTCAATAAAGATCTAATGAGATTCTAAAGATGAAAGCATTTCTCAAAACCATGAGGAACAAAAGTATACTTCATTATCCACACCCACGGCCAAATGATATAAATATTTACAAATATACAGAATACTTCTCTGAATGTCATGTCGCAACAGTGAGAATATTCAGTCATCAAAATTTCAATCATACAAGTGCATTGAGGATTACCTATTCCAATACGGATATTTCGGAGGGCAAGGAAGACACCAAGAGGTGATCCAACAGCAAAGAATGTGTTAACCTGATATGTAAGAATTAATGTCAAATCAGTAACAAGATTCACCATCTTAAATTTATAGCTCGTAAGAAGTTCCGTTCTGACCTTGAATTCGAGCTTTGTGTACTTAATATAAGGGGTATAACTCTTTGGGTCATCATCTAGCATAGGTTCAAGCTTCTCAGAAATGGGTTGCTTTGGCTCAGTGGCAAGTAACGCATTTTTCTGTTTATGCAGCCAATAAAACCCAGAGATATTAACACACAAGAGCCCCTTCCATAACATAGAACCAAAAATAGAAGTGAAGATCAAAGATTAACCCAATGCAAGCCTACACGTAACTCAACCTTGATTGTACGATTCCAGCTCTGCTATTTTGGCTTTCAGGGAACCAATCTGAAACACATAAAATTTCATTAAAAAGTGGTGTCTATTATTATGAACCAAAGATTTCACAAAAAGTATCTGGCATGAAAAGGTCAATTTTATATCCTTGGCTCGTTAAACAGGATGTGACCATACTTATGACCATATCTTCTTTAGCTGTTTGCTCAGAGTCTATAGCTGTTGCAGTATCTGACACAACAGTACCCACAAGAGAAGAAAAATCTTCAGCAGGTGCTTCCTCGTGCTCTAGATGAGTTGATTGTACACTCATCAAATCTTGTCCTCATCAGCAGACCCCACCTTATCCTCATATTCATTTGTCTTAGTGGAGCTTTTACCCTTCAGATCAGCTGAAGAGTCACCATTAGAAGGTTGATTGTTCATGGCATGGGAAGATTCTTCAATGGTATCTTGTTGTTCCTTGTACCTCCAATCCATTGCAAATAGGGATGATAGATTCTCTTGATGGGAGAGGATGTCATACGAGAGGACACTTCCCAAGGAATGACCATATATAGAAACCTAAACAAATGTTAATATAAGCTAAATTGTCACTTAATCATTACAGCCTAACAAATAGATACTAGCTGCATACCTTTCCGTCATAACCAGGATTTTGTTTAAGAAATTTCAGATATAACCAATTTAATTGGTTTGAAACCTGGAGGAGCAGAAGTGCATCTTCATCAGTTCAAAATTCAAACAAATTTCAAATTTCAACCTTAACAGACTGAAATGTGACTGTTTTATGCTCAAGACATCAGCTACATTTTTCTTTTTTTAAGACTATAAAGAATTATAGCATAATATTTGCCAAAAGAAAATGTGACAGTCTATGCTCAAGATATCTCCAACAGACCAATGCTCCAGTTTAGTGTGCATAGGATGTGAAGCAATTTTAGAACTTTTTTTTGATAGGAAACTTAGACGTATACTGCTTTGGCAAAACTTAGATAGTGGATCAGGTATCCCCTACTACAAAACAACCCATCTAATTATGGTCCAAAGCTTTAGAAAGACTATCATGAACCTGTGCAGAAAAATGTCATTTTAAACAAGGAACCTGGATTGAAAGAAGCTTNCAAAATGACACAAAATTTCACATGAATAAAACAAAATAAAACCAAAACTAACCATTAAAAAGCAAAGGAACTCAATGCATAACCCAAATCAAAACCAAAACAACTAATTCCACTAACCCAACAAATCTCAAACTCAACAGAAAGACAAAAACGTTCACATGGTCAAAACCAAACCAAAGCAAAACTAACCATTGGGAAGCAAAGGGACTTTACAAAAGTACCACCGCACATCACCGCCATCAGAGGGACTCCTAGTCTGAGCCAAATACTTCTGCCTTCCTTTCGAATTCTCAATCACATCCTCCAATCTTGCAATGTTGGAGGGCGTATTCTTCAACAAATCAGGAGACGTTTCCTCCTCCGAATCCCCCATTTTTCTTCACCAAAATTCTCTCTTTTTTTCCTCAGTTATGGGTTTCTCTGAAACCAACGAATACAGACGCAAAACAAGCACAAACCCACCTAGGCAATGATTGAAATTTGATGATTGAAGGGTAGATGGAATGTTGAATGTCAGGTGGAAAGCATAATTTGATGGAAAGAACATTTTCTTTCATGCCTTAGAAAAATGGCGGTTGCGTGCTTTATTTTATTTTTACTTGTAGCCTTTTTTCAAAAAATGGTTAAATTTAATATGAACCCCGATATATGAAATAACTTTCTTTATTAACGTTTTTAAAATAATAAAAATGACTTGCCGTATATGAATTTTTTAAAATTTATATTATTAAAAATTAAAAAATATTATTAAATTAATTTTTTATCGTCTAATTTAACACCTTAAATTTAGTAGTAAAATAATTTCGGTTATTTCTAAAATTTAAAAAAAAAATATTTTACCATAAAATTTATTAATTCTTTAAAAAAATATATTCTTGTGTTAAATATTTTTTGCTTTGGCTTTTTGTTCTGTTGCTGGGAGTCTTGACACCTTAAAGTTTATCAAATTCCTTCAAGTCCTATAATTTTTAAAATTTTACAAATACATCCCAGAATTAATCAACCGTATAAGAACAAAATTGTCATTATATGTAACTAAACTTTAATAGAATGAGAGCATTTACACCCATTAAAGTCCTCAACATACTTGTTTTAAAATGGTAATTCAACTTCGAGCATCATACTAAAAGAATATGTGCGTTGAAGTGTTCGACAACTTTTAATAAACTCAATAAACTCAAGGATAGATCCAGAAATTAATTTTAGAGAAGGCAAGTTCGAATTAATATAATATAAAATAAAGGAAAAGTAAATGAGTAAGCTCAAATCTAAAAAATGTGAATATAAATACAAGGTGGTCAAACTAAAAAACCAAACCAAATTAATGAAAAAAAAAAATTGAGTGGGATCACTAACCCCCACTCATCACTACTTAGGTTTGTTTATGAACTCACTTGACAGACATATTATCAACTGTGGCTAACACTTTATTGAGTGTGTTAAGCGTCTTATTAAAAAAATGAAGGTAACCTTAAGAAATATTATGTTTGTTCGAATTTGGTTAAATAAAAAATAGTTGCTCGACCTACATGAAATTATTTAGAGGACTTATTTTTCAAGAAAAAAAAAACCCTTAAAATATGGTTATTCTTCAACCTCCCTCAACTGAAATACAAAGTACTTTATTTGATATAAACTCGAGAGAAAAATGTTACTTAAGATTTTACGTTACTTAAGAGAAATTTGATTCATTATTTGTTAATTAATATGCGTAATAATAATATTCAATTCCGGGGTATTGTTGTTAGGTTTTTCAAATGTCTATAGTAAGTTTTGGGGTTGTAATTTTACCTTTTGTAGTTTTTTGTATTGTTTTTAGTTCTAATTATTATAGTCGTTAATTCCTAGCTGGCATTGTTTTGGATCGGATTCCTGGCTTTATAAGCGGGTTTGGGCTTTCGGGTGCAAATCAGGGAAAGTTGTCTTCAATATTTAGTAATAATTTGTTAAATTAATACTTTTTTTTCAGATTCAAAATAGTCTTATGAATTCCCTATAGTAGTTTTCTTTCTTTCTTTTTTTTTTTAATCCATGAAATATCACAATTATTAATTTATTATTTGTTATACAAGATTAATTTACTTGCCCTTGAGGGAGGGTTAAGTTTTAAACATCACAAGGAAATTTCATAAAATCTTGCATCAGAACAAACATCAACTAGAAGGAACTTATTTGTTAATCAAAAGAGGTTGATGTCTGAAGCCAATCCAAAATCCTAATAAAAATGAGGAAAGCATAATCATTTAACAAACCTGCAAGAAAGATGCCTCTATCGCAGAGATCTCTCATACCAAAACGAAAGATTCATTCTTTCCCACTATCTCAGTTCGAGGAGTGAAGCAGCTGGCTCTGTTGAGTCACAAAAGGAGCAATATTTCATCAAAACTCACACGTATCTTTGATTTGACACAGATATTAATGACTAAATCTATTAAAAGAAACAACCACTAGAATTTGTGTTGCTGCCTATTAATCAATATTTGCTCACAATGGAACCCCATCTGGAGGCACTATGACTTAGTCTTCAACATTCTATAGTACTACATTTATCAAATAAATATTCCACATACAACTAACTTGTAATAGCTAATAAGGTAACATGCTTACTAAGCCAACAAAGCTCAAATCCAGATAAAAACTTAAATGATATGGGTAAAACAAAGCAAGTAACCTGCAACAGAACTCAATGCATACTTGTGGCTACTTCTAAATCAAAACAACTAATCACAGTAACATGCTAGCTAACCTAACAAGCTCAAACTCCATAGACAGCCACAAAACTTTCATATGTAAAACCAAATCAAACCAAAGCAATGGACCACTGGAAAGCAAGTGAACTTAATGCAGACATACCCACATCTAAATCACGATGACCAACAAAAGTAAAGTTCTTGCTTAGCTAACAAGCTCACGTCCACAAAAGACCATAAATTATCATACAAGCAATACCAAACCAAAGGAACTCAATGATCCCCATATCTAAATTAAAACACTAATCAAACTAACAGCTTATCACCCAAAAAGTTCAAAGCCTTTAGAAAGATAAAGTTTCATATGGATCAATGAAACCAAATGAAACAAAGCAAAACAGATAATTTGGAAGCAAAGAACTCCATGCATATCCACATCTAAACCAAAACAACTAATCACAGTAATACTAATAACTTTAATAACCCAACAGAGCTCAAACTCTATAGAAAGACCTAATTTTTCACATGGCTAAAACAAAAGCAAACCATGGCAAAACTAATCATTAGAAAGCAAAGAAAATGCACACCCACATCAAAACCGAAACAACTAATCACAGTACGGCTCACAAACTCAACAAAGTTCAAACTCGACAAATAAAAAAATAAAATAAAATAAAGCTCATAAGTTTTCATTGGGTAAACAAAAACAAAGCAAGGAACTCAATGTAGACCCACCAAAATCAAAGCAACTTATCACACTACCATCTCGCTAACCACCACACTCAAACTCAACAAATGACACAAAATTTCACATGAATAAAACAAATCAAACCAAAACTACCATTAAAACAAAGGAATTCAATGCATAACTCAAATAAAAAACAAAACAACTAATCACACTAACATCTCCCTAACCTGCCAAAGCTCAACTCAAAAATTCATAAGAACCACTGTAAATTGCCAAGCTTCCTGGTAACCCTATTCTTTCCATAAACATGATCATAGCAAATACATGGCAGTAGATGCTAGCATCTAAGGGCACCGAATGCATCACTTAATCCATAAAAAACTGAGAAAAATAGGTTTCATTATAGGCCCACAAATATTCCAACACCAGCGAGTGTTTTACTGATGCAATATTATTTATGTCTATCGCTTATAGTTTGCTTGATGTTCATATATTCTACACTTAGATACAATGACCAGCATGTTATAATACTAAGACAGATAGGTGAATCATATATTCGTGTGAGTTTATATCCTAGAGAATGTCCCCAGTCAGGATTAAATAAATTATTTGCCTACTCACTCAATCACCAATGCCTTGACTTTCTTACAAATATAACAAATTTAGCCCCCCAAAAAAACCTCATGTTTTTTATTCATAAGAAACCCTGAATTTGTAAAGATATTATTCAAATTAATAATCAAGAAAAAATAGCCAAAATGCATTTCAGGGAAACTTAATAATGGCATGCATAATTTTAATGGTGAAAAAAAGACAAATAAGAACAAGAAGCGGAATGCCAGATTCCATACCTGAGAACAATAATCATCCATTTCCTCTTCTTTCTGCTGACGCAATTCCTCCTGAATGTAGTTGGAATACACATAAATAACATTACTTAAATTCTTTAAAGAAAAATAATTACCACCAATCAAAAGTATTTTCAAACAGAAGCAGACCAATTTGATGAAAGACAGAAAGTTCCAACTGAATTTATTTAATCAAGCATAAATTACTTATAATATATTCCAAGAAAAGAAATGCTATTAAATTCCCTAACCAGGATCTAATTACATATTCCTGAAGCATAAGGCACAAATGAAGATGATAGAAGTTTTTATGCTAGTAAAATTTTTAAAAGGGAAAGATTAGAGACCTGGCTTGGTTTTTTTGACTGGGATTTCGAATAACCACGCCTTAACTTAATTCCATTTCCACTGAAACTAATGACACCAGAAAAACCAGAAGCATCAACATTGAGCCAAGACTCCCAGGTATCATCCTCGCCAGTAAAAAGTGCATGAAGTCCCTACATGCACAACTTCAAGATACATCAATCTTTTCACGTACATATGCAGCAGACATTCATAAGCAGGTATTGGAAATTCCCATCCACAAGGCAATATACATACTGGGGTAGAGCCTTGTAAATCAACTCGAGCTGCAAAAAGTCCAGAGGGTTGAAATCTTCTCCGGTGCCAAACCTAGGGAAAGTCAAACTTCTTACTGTTCCCATACAAAAATGGTAAACCAACGCATAATGCCGAATACAGTTAATTAAAAGAAGGGAATGACAATAAAAGTACAACTTAAATGACAAAGAAACTGTAGACTGCTATTGTCAGAAAGCCATTGCATCCTAAAATTGCATAGATTAAAGAAGGTAATCAATCTACATCAGTCTTTTAAATATATACACTTTTCATAATGAGTTTCCTAACCCCAGAGGGCAGGTCATTATATATACAAATTACAGGCATACTAACATTATGAACTAGGAAATAGGTCTATATAGATTCCAACTTATCAAATAACATAATCGTTCACAGTATCAGATATTATTGCACCAAACCTTACTACGGTAAGCAATCTCTAACTGTTCAGCAACATCTTCACGAAGTGGAAGCCAATCAAGGCCCCCTTTACGAGCAAACCAATGACCTCTAAGAACACGTCGATTGTCTCCATTCCAATAAACAGGGAAACAATGTCTCTTTACCAAATCTACCTGCAACATTTTTAAGGATTTGATCTTCAGAAGTATTCTCTGAGTTGAGTAATAAAAAAAGACGGCTCTTAAATATAAATCAATAATTAAAAAAATCAAATTAAAATTTATGCTCAAAAGTTCAGAGTTTCGCAGACCAGAATATATAAATAATTAAAAAGGTCAAAACATAAGTTTTTAAAATAACTAAATGAATAAAGAACAAGAAACATGGCATCCAGATCTACATGACAAAAAAATAACAGTAATAATAATAAGAAGTTAATAAATCATGTCTTAAGCCATATTTCACTCTTACTCAACACGCACAACAATTACAGCTGAAACCTCAGAAAAAGGGTTACCTCATAAAGTCCTCCCTTTACAGGAACTCCAACCCTTTCTTCTTCTACATATAGCTAGGAGTAATTTCTGAGGAAGCAAGACTTGGTTGCTTTTCCAATTTCTTATTGGAACTAGGTTGTTCCTTTGGACCTTCACTACATTCTGCATACTCTTTCCACCAACTAGAGAGCAATTCTTCCTCTGTCTGTAAAGGTACATTCAACAGATAAGCATTTAGCGAATTGCATTAGTGAGAAAGACCTGTCTAACAGTAGCATGCAAATATTGCTCAACAAAAATTTCTTAGAACTAAAAATCATTTTATATTAAATCACTTATATTGGTTGCTTCTAACCATGACTCCTCAATATCTTAAGGAAATTTCATAAAATCTTGCATCAGAACAAAACATCAACTAGAAGGAACTTATTTGTTAATCAAAAGAGGTTGATAGTCTGAAAGCCAATCCAAAATCCTAATAAAAATTGAAGGAAAGGTATAATCATTTAACAAACCTGCAAGAAAGATGCCTCTATCGCAAGAGAATCTCTCATACCAAAACGAAAGTATTCATTCTTTCCCACTATCTCAGTTCGAGGGAGTGAAGCAGCTGGCTCTGTAGAGTCACAAAAGGAGCAATATTTCATCAAAACTCACACGTATCTTTGATTTGACACAGATATTAATGACTAAATCTATTAAAGAGAAACAAACCACTAGAATTTGTGTTGCTGCAGCTATTAATCAAATATTTGCTCACAATGGAACCCCATCTGGGAGGCACTATGACTTAGTCTTCAACATTCTGATAGTACTTACATTTATCAAATAAAATATTCCACATACAACTAACTTGTAATAGCTAATAAAGTAACATGCTTACTAAGCCAACAAAGCTCAAATCCAGATAAAAACTTAAAATGTTATATGGGTAAAAACAAAGCAAAGTAACACTGCAACAGAACTCAATGCATACTTGTGGCTACTTCTAAATCAAAACAACTAATCACAGTAACATGCTAGCTAACCTAATAAAGCTCAAACTCCATAGACAGCCACAAAACTTTCATATGGGTAAAACCAAATCAAACCAAAGCAATGAGACCACTGGAAAGCAAAGTGAACTTAATGCAGACATACCCACATCTAAATCACGATGACCAACAAAAGTAAAGTTCTTGCTTAGCTAACAAAGCTCACAGTCCACAAAAGACCATAAAATTATCATACAAGCAATACCAAACCAAAGGAACTCAATGAATTCCCATATCTAAATTAAAACAACTAATCAAACTAACAGCTTATCAACCCAAAAAAGTTCAAAGCCTTTAGAAAGATAAAGTTTCATATGGATCAAATGAAACCAAATGAAACCAAAGCAAAACAGATAATTTGGAAGCAAAGGAACTCCATGCATATCCACATCTAAACCAAAACAACTAATCACAGTAATACTAATAACTTTAATAACCCAACAGAGCTCAAACTCTATAGAAAGACCTAATTTTTCACATGGCTAAAACAAAAGCAAACCATGGCAAAACTAATCATTAGAAAGCAAAGAAAATAATGCACACCCACATCAAAACCGAAACAACTAATCACAGTCACGGCTCACAAACTCAACAAAGTTCAAACTCGACAAATAAAAAAAATAAAATAAAATAAAGCTCATAAGTTTTCATATGGGTAAAACAAAAACAAAGCAAAGGAACTCAATGTAGACCCACATCAAAATCAAAGCAACTTATCACACTAACATCTCGCTAACCTACCACAACTCAAACTCAACAAATGACACAAAATTTCACATGAATAAAACAAAATCAAACCAAAACTAACCATTAAAAAGCAAAGGAATTCATGCATAACTCAAATAAAAAACAAAACAACTAATCACACTAACATCTCCCTAACCTGCCAAAGCTCAAACTCAACAAATGACACAAAATTTCACATGAATAAAACAAAATAAAACCAAAACTAACCATTAAAAAGCAAAGGAACTCAATGCATAACCCAAATCAAAACCAAACAACTAATTCCACTAACCCAACAAATCTCAAACTCAACAGAAAGACAAAAACGTTCACATGGTCAAAACCAAACCAAAGCAAAACTAACCATTGGGAAGCAAAGGGACTTTACAAAAGAACCACCGCACATCACCGCCATCAGAGGGACTCCTAGTCTGAGCCAAATACTTCTGCCTTCCTTTCGAATTCTCATCACATCCTCCAATCTTGCAATGTTGGAGGGCGTATTCTTCACAAATCAGGAGACGTTTCTCCTCCTCCGAATCCCCCATTTTTCTTCACCAAAATTCTCTCTTTTTTCCTCAGTTATGGTTTTCTCTGAAACCAACGAATACAGACGCAAAACAAGCACAAACCCACCTAGGCAATGATTGAATTTGATGATTGAAGGGTAGATGGAATGTTGAATGTCAGTGGAAAGCATAATTTGATGGAAAGAACATTTTCTTTCATGCCTTAGAAAAATGGCGGTTGCGTGCTTTATTTTATTTTTACTTGTAGCCTTTTTTCAAAAAATGGTTAAATTTAATATAACCCCGTATATGAATAACTTTCTTTATTAACGTTTTTAAAAATAATAAAATCACTTGCCGTATATGAATTTTTAAAATTAATAATATATTAAATTAATTTTTTATCGTCTAATTTACACCTTAAATTTAGTAGTAAAATAATTTCGGTTATTCTAAAATTTAAAAAAAAAATATTTTACCATAAAATTTATAATTCTTTAAAAAAATATATTCTTGTGTTAAATTTTTTTGCTTTGGCTTTTTGTTCTGTTGCTGGAGTCTTGACACCTTAAAGTTTATCAAATTCCTTCAAGTCCTAATTTTTAAAATTTTACAAATACATCCCAGAATTAATCAACCGTATAAGAACAAAAATTGTCATTATATGTAACTAAACTTTAATAGAATGATAGCACTTCAACCCATTAAGTCCTCAACATACTTGTTTTAAAATGGTAATTCAACTTCGAGCATCATACCAAAGAATATGTGTGTTGAAGTGCTCAACAACTTTAAACAAAGTCAATAAACTCAAGGACAGATCCAGAAATTAATTTAGAGAAGGCAAGTTCTATTAATATAATATAAAATAAAGGAAAAGTAAATGAGTAAGCTCAAATCTAAAAAATGTGAATATAAATAAAAGGTGGTCAAACTAAAAACCAAACCAAATTAATGAAAAAAAAAAATTGAGTGGGATCACAACCCCCACTCATCACTACTTAGGTCTGTTTATGAACTCACTGACAGACATATCAACTGTGGCTAACACCTTGTTGAGTGTGTTAAGCATCTTTTAAAAAAAAATGAAGGTAACCTTAGAAATATTATGTTTGTTCGAATTTGGTTAATAAAAAATAGTTGCTCGACCTACATGAAATTATTTAGAGGACTTATTTTCACAAGAAAAAAAAACCCTTAAAATATGGTTATTCTCAACCTCCCTCAACTGAAATACAAAGTACTTATTTGATATAACTCGAGAGAAAAATGTTACTTAAGATTTTACGTACTTAAGAGAAATTTGATTCATTATTTTGTAATTAATATGCGTAATAATAATTCAATTCGGGGTATTGTTGTTAGTTTTTCAAATGTCTATAGTAAGTTTTGGGGTACAATGTCATTTAACCTTTTGTAGTTTTTTGTATGTTTTTAGTTCTAATTATTATAGTCGTTAATTCCTAGCTGGCATTGTTTTGGATCGGATTCCTGGCTTTATAAGCGGTTTGGGCTTTCGGGTGCAAATCAGGGAAAGTTGTCTTCAATTTTAGTATAATTTGTTAAATTAATACTTTTTTTTCAGATTCAAATAGTCTTATGAATCCCTATAGTAGTTTTCTTTCTTTCTTTTTTTTTAATCCATGAAATATCACAATTATAATTTATTATTGTTATACAAGATTAATTTACTTGCCCTTGAGGAGGGTTAAGTTTTAAACATCACAACTATTGATAAAGTATTAAAAAAAAAAAACCTCCCATTAGGGTCTTTTTAATACTTGTAAGGGTTTTTTGATATTTTATAAGAGATTTTATGATTTTTTTTTTTTTTTTTTTGGAGGGGTAATTTCAAGGAGTATTTTTTTTTTTAAATTGTAGGAACAGTAAACTTAACTATTTCTTAGTACGAATAAATTAATCTCCATACAACAATAAAAGGCTATGGAAAAAAAAAAAAAAAAAAGTTCGAGTATAAATTTCACAAGCAGAAAACAACTAAGCATTCATTTTTTTTTTTTTTTTTGTGTGTTTAACAATTAATTTTAAAAAAATAAAATATGATCTTGTGTTTTTAAAATTCAATTTTTTTATGTGATTTTGTATTTAAAAATTAGTTTGAAAAAGTAAGAAATATGATTTTGTGTTTTTAAAATTGGAATACATTACTTTTTTTTTTTAAACTGAAAACCAAAAAAAAAAAAAATTGTATTAATCATCAATGAGTTCTTAGAAGTCACTAGGGAAACAAATTAATGCAAAACTTACAATATTATTACGTGAATCCCATTCTTACTTCAGGCAAAGTTGGTACGAAATCTAAAATAAATAAATAAAATTACAATAAATAAGGAGCTTTAGGGATAATATTGAGTATAATTATTATTAGTTGGTCATATCATACATACAATTATAAAAAATGTTTATTAGTTTTCTTAAATTTTCCTTAATACAATTTGGGATGATTTCATATACCCATTGTGAGATCAATTACTATTAAATGCAAAAACAGTTATAAAAAATATATTAGACACTCTCGATGATTATTAAAAAATCACTAAATTATACAAAATCCCAATAAAATTATCAAATACCTTGAGCTTTTTAAATACTCTCTAATAACAATAAAATATGTTTTATATTAATCGATCTCATAAAAGGTATTAGAATGTAAACCTTGTCAAGTTATTAAAGATAGCGCTTGAACATATCATTTTCACATTAACTAAAATAACATTTTTAATCAATAAATAATGTTTTTAGTCCTCTTTCATAAATAGGTCAAGCTATTGTAATACACAAATTGTTAATATAAAGCCTTGATTTACTATAATCCAATGGTTGAAAAGTTAATAAATCGGTATTAAAGAAAAACTTCCATTTTAAATATATGTATTTTTAAATTATAATATTTCTTTTTTATGTTTGATTATATCACATTTAGACATACACATAGGGGTGGGATTTGTCCTAGGAATTTCGAGAACCCGCTTCACCCCACTGCGTACTAGATAGGGATTCCCCAAAATAAGTAGGGACGGGGACAAAAAAATTCTCTGTCCTCGAGGATGGTATAGACATCTCCCCGCCTTATACCTATCCCACCTCACCTCGCTTGAACCTGAATCCGAATAGATAAAAATGAATTGACCCAAATCCAACTAATAGATGTCTCTCTTCTTTTCTAGTTCTTTCTCCAAGTTGTCAAACTATAATTGTGGCGTTGAACCAACCATAGCAGCCACATGTTGCACCAAAATTTGAACCCACCCCATTCTAAACTGTCAGAGAATGAAAATAAAGAGAAGGCAAGAGAGGCAGAGCTGGCCTGATGGTACTCACTTTATGTAACGGTCAGCATGGTGAGCCCACTACTAACCGGCCACGGAACTACCTTTTATTAAAATTTACTTCTTTAATAGTTAATACACATAAGATTGGTTAGAATTTTGATGTCTATTCATCTAGGGTTAATTTCCTTAATACGCATCCAACCATACCACAATAAAATTCCAAATTCTTTCTACTTATGTTATCTTGGAACAGTTGAGCTGTCAATTATTGAAATAAGATTATGGTTGTACAAATTAAAGTTTGATGATTTATATAAAATTGTTAAAATTAGAAAATAATAGAAACAAAAATAAGTTAACAAAATAAAATAACAAATTTAATATTGAAATTAGACTCAGATGGAAAGGTTAGACAAAAATAATTATGTTTTTTACCCTTTATTTAAAATCCCAAAATACTAGCCATCAAAATATTAAGCTTTCTGCCAACATAAGCATTACTAAAATAAAATTATGCCCATTTTAGGAAGCCAACTGGCCTGATGGTACTCACCATGCTCCCCAATTGACTATAGCCCCTTGGTCTTGGGTTCGAGTGGTAAGGGAGGCGAGAGAAATCCCTTAAGGGGGGTACAGTACCTGCCACGAAGGTAGTTCCGTGGCCGGTTAGTAGTGGGCTCACCATGCTGACCGTTACAGATTGTTTCTTTGATTTCTAGGAAATCAACGTGTCTCCAAGTTTTATACGAAACCCAATAAGTGATCTTCTCGTCATTGGACATGTTCCCCAATTTGACTCGCAGTAGGCTGTGACATCAAGGTTTGCATTTCAAGATAAGAGAAATCCTAATTTAGGACATCCCTTTAGATACTTAATTACCTTCATTTTTGCATCCATATGAGATTGTTTCGGCCCATGCATGAATTGACTAAGGATGTAGATTGCATAACTGATATTCATCTAGAGAAAAAAGCATAATCGTTTTGATTGAGTAAATCCGAGCCTTGTGAGACCTTTAGTAAACTTTTGATTCCACTGTCGAGAGGCTTGCTTTAAACCATGTAGGGACTTTCAAAGGCGACATACTGTATTCTCCCCTTGTCATTGAAGTCTTGGAGGAAGATCCATATAAATTTCCTCATGGAGATCACCATAAAGAAATGCATTGTGAGTCTCCATTTGATGCAAGGTTCAGTCACGAATAGAAGCCACTATTAGAAAAGTGCAAACAGTAACATGTTTGGCCACGGGGGCAAAAGTTTCAACATAATCAAATCCTTCACGTTGAGTGAAGCCTTTTGTAACGAGTTTGGCTTTATATCTCTCAATGGAGTCATCCAAATGGTGCTTGATTTTATATACCCATTTGCAGCCAATAGGTTTTTTGTGTGTTGGACGTAGCACTAAATCTCATGTCTGATTAACAGCGAGAGCAAAAAGTTCTTCAGCCATGGCCTGATGCCAGTGAGAATGAGATACAGCCTCAGAATAATAAGAAGGTTCTCGTTCTGCAGAAATCTGACTGATACAGACCTAGTGAGTTGGAGAAAGTTTATCATAGTTGACATACTTTGAGGTTGGATAATGAATGCCCGTGCAGGTCTGTATTGTGGGGCAAACATAATCAGTTATCCAAATAGGAGGCTGGGTGGTGCGTGTGGATTAGTGTGGAGGAGGTTTAGGAACTCTGGTAAGGGATTGTAATTATGGTGGAATATTGATGATGGAAGTATCTTTTGTTGGGA